TCTTTCAACCAAAAGCAAAAATGATGACGCTAAAGGCAACAACGTAAATTTATAATTTGGAAAAACTTCAACTGGATTTATAGACAAATACAGTGACTAAAAACCGCCAAAATTTGGAACATTGTACTCTGAATTTTTTAGAACATTTTTAGGTGTTAAGTAACCAACAATTTTTTTGCCTCCTGTTTTTTTCGTGTTTTTTTTTATTTAACATTTGCCATTTATAAAAACTGGCGTTGATTTTTTGATTTTTTTTTTTGCAAAAAATCATAGTGTGTAATTTCATACACCTTCCCATTTTTTATTTTTATTTAAAGAATCATTAAAAATATTTAGGCAATCAAAAGCTTCTCAGGACCCAGCAAAATGAGTTTTGAATAGAGCACGATATGTTCGCATTTTTTTTTTTTTGATAAAATGCCCATTAAAGCGTTCGAAAATTAATGTAATAAAGAAGACTACACTTTTGGAAAGAAATTTATAACATAAAAATACATAACAGCAAAAAATAAAGGGAGCACGAAATGTTTTATTTGTTTTTCAAACGAAATACTTTTAACAAAAATCTACCCAAATTAAACAGAACTTACTTTTTTACCAACCCAAATTGTTTCTGCCAATTTTGGTAATAATTTACCAAAGTGGCAACCCTGATGTCACGCTTCAAACATATGCTATAAAATTATGGCTTGATGTCGAATCGGTAGTTTTTTAAAGCTGAAATGCTAAGTTGACTCGCACAGTGGTCAAGAAATAGAATTTAATGTTCACAATTCACTGGGGCCTTCATTTCTCAACCAATTTGATTAATTTTTTTTTTAAATAAAAGTAGATATATAATTTTCACGGGACTAGTTGAGCTTGATTTTTGATTTCTTATTTGTTTATATTAAATTTTTAATGCAAAGGTCAGAAAAAGTGGCAATTTTGAAGAAGATCGATTCTCCTGTTCGAGTAATAAATTTTACATAATAAAAACTAGTTAAAAATAAAGTTAGGGTTCTCACAAACAAGAAAAAATAAGAAAAAGAAAGTATTTCTTTTTTGTTTTTGGTTTTTATAAAAATTTTAATATTTATGTAATAATTTTTTCGTTTACATTTCGAGCACATCTGCATGCTAAATGGGAAATAAAAGCATTTGTTGTATTATTAAAAATCAACGCAAACTCTTAGCCACTTGCAATTTGCACTAATTTGATGATGTATACCCAACATCTTTTTTAAAAACCAAAAACAAAAAAAAAAATACTTTTGGTGAAATTTTTTTTTATAACATTTCAAATTATTATTTTTTTTTATTTTTTCTTGTTTGGGAGAACCCTAAACTAATTTTTATTATGAAAGTTTTATTAACTGGAACAGGAAAATTTCCACTTTTTCTGTCCTTTGCATTAAAAAATTTAATAAAAACAATAAAAAATCAGGCTCAACTAGTCTCTTGCAAATTTTATAAACTTTTATATAAAAAAAATAAAAAAAAATAATAATAATCAAATTGGTTGAGAATTCAGTGAATTATGAATATTAAATTCCATTTATTGACCACTGTGACTCGGTCGCCGGCACTATCGTTAGCTAAATGCCTGCTTCACTGTTTAATTTAGTTTGCTGGCAAGCTATCTGTCTGCCTGTTTGTTGGTTGCTCACTTTGAGTAAGTCGAGGCGTTAGACACATGCTTAGACATACGTATGTACATATAAACATATGTATGTATATGTAGTTTTTTCTTTCAGTTTCTTCAATTGCCACATTTAATAAAGCCATACATACGACGAGTACCATACCCATTTGGCTGATCGCTCTTAGCTGCTAGCATTTGGCGAGTGTTTTTCATAAGTTGATACTGATTTCGATTTGTGGATGTGCTGCTTTTCTTACACTATTATTATTGTATTTATGTATGTATGTATGTACATTAAGGTGCCTCACCAGAAAAAATTGGAATTATTAAATTTATTATATTTTAAGACTTCCGCCAAAATATTTCGGAATTATTTTAGGATTTAATTTAAGAGCTAGACCATTTTGAAAAAAACCATCACAAATCCAGTTTTTTTTTTATAAATAACATTTAGTTTTAAAAATGTTTATTTATGCAGACCTTTTATGCTTAATCTCTACTATCATTTCTCGCGATTTTTCGAAATATATACTTTTAAACACTAATTTTAATTATAAAAAAAATCACCTTTGGGAGCATTTCAAATCGGTCCAGCTCACGCAAACCATAATATTCTTCCGATATATTATTGCGCAAGTCTTTAAATATATTAAATTTTATAATTCTGATGAAAAAACATTATCGATTTCTTTTTGTGTATCAATGGAGAGGATGCACCCTAATGTACACACATGTATACATATGTATTTTTTCTTCTCGCCTTAATACTGTTTTAGTTAGTGAGTTTTTTCTTTTTATTTCTTTTAATTTATATTTTGCCGTTTTTCTGCTTCTATGGACGCCTTTTTTTTTGTTTAAAAGTTGTAGCCGTTAAATCGCAATGTTGGCAACCGCAGCCAAAGCAACAGCAACAGAGCGCAGTCGCATTTTGTGGAAGTTTGTGGATCGCTCGTTTATTGTTCGCTGTTTGACTTTGTGGAGACTGTGGCAACTGGCGACTTGTGCCGCGCTGGGCTGCGTTCCTTGTGTAGCCATGGTGAGTTTATTCACCTTTGCCGTGTAAGAAAATCATGCAACAACAACAACAACAACAACAACAGCAGCAGCCATTACAAGAAAAACAATGAGAAAATGAGCAAAGCATAAAGTAAGCCAAATCAGTTGCATATACTACATATACATATATATATTTATGTAGATATGCACATACATACATACCCGTTTAACGAACAAAACTTAAGCTAATTTTTTTTTTTTAGTTTTCAGTGAGACAATGCGTCAAATTCGCCAGCTATGTAGCTTACGTGGCCAGCTTCCAAATGAAATACACATAGAGAAGAAGTTGAATCAAAAAACAATTGTTTTTGCTATTGAAATAAAATTTAGTTAACTTTCCGCCTGCTTGCCTGTCTGCTTGTCTGCTTAGAAAGTGCAGTAATTTATTAACTTATTGAGGTCACTTTCCCCTGAAACGAACTCTCGACGAATTTCCACCAGAGAACACTTTTTTCCAAATATGAGATTGCATATGCACACATTTGTTCACACTTCGAAGTTTGAGGTTATTAAATTTTTATGTACATATGCATGCCTCTATACATATTTACTAGATAGATGTATGTACTTACATATGCATGTTAGAACTGAGACACAATATTTTGGTGGGAGCTATAAAAAAGTACAAATTCTATAATTCGCTTTGGCGAAGCAACGATTTCTTTTCGTGAGTCATACATACTTACTATGTTACAGAGTCATGCGCCTACGAACAAACTGAAGATGCACGAAGTAGGTACCAATGTATGTATGTGCATGTCTGTATATCAATAAAAATAGTTTTTATGAAAAGCAAAAAATTATATGTGAAAATATGATGATAGATTCTGCACTATTTTCCTCAAATGTTGCACCAGCAAAAACAGCTCAGCATTACTACAAATACACCCCGCTTCAATTGAATATGTACATTGCTTTTCTTATGTTCCATATGAAAATTTCCTTGTAGGACACGAAAAAATAGTTTTGGCAAAATTTCAGGCACTTATCTTAATTTTCAGCAAAAATTAAATTTTTCCTGTAATTTTTTAGTATTGTATGTGCAAGTTTGAAGTAGCTAGGACTTACTGTTGATTTTTGGTAAATTTTTGATTATGCTAAAATTTAATGGGCTACGAGTTTTTTTTTTTATTAACAAAAAATCACGGAAAAAATTTGTTTAATTAAAAGTTCGTATTTTTGCAAGCACCCCAGCCGGTAAAATTATAAATATTGGCCTTCTTGGTATTCAAATTTTATTTCAAACAAAACGCAGAAAAATGAATGAAATGGCCAACATTTTTGGCATTATTAGTACTTAAATTATTTGCCATTTAGTGTTTGCACACAATCACCGCGACTGCGTTTTATGACGACTGTCCTGTCGTTCCAATTTTGCATCACTTTCTCCAACATAGCCACCGGCAACAGATCAGTCGTAGCATAGACCATTGCCTTGACGTACCTCACAAAAAATAGTCTAACAAAGTCAAATCACATATACGATTGATAAATGCATGTACGGTCAAAAATTTGGGTTTAATTTTCAAACCGCGCTTGGACTACTGCCTTTTTGAATCTTTTATAGTCTACTTTTTAAACCAGTCAATAGTTTTAAGCAATTTTTAATATATTCTGGTTTAAATTTTAGTCCAAAAAGTTCTTGGTTTAAAAATCAAACCAAAATGTTTTAATTCTAGTTTCTAGGTTTCATATATGGAAAATTTGGTTTAAAATCTAAACCGAAATAGAAAATGTTTGCACACAGCGAAATGTGGTGTTGATTCAAACTCAACATATGAAAGCACATTTACATGCGTGGCTGTAGCTGAGTGTGCTAAGATGTTTGATATAATTGGCTGCTACCAAGGCTATCCGGGTTCAATCGCCATCAGACGGAGCATGAAGTTTAAGATTTTTTATTTTTTATTCTTAATTATGAAAATGTTTGGGTTTAAAATTTAAACCGAACTGTTTAAATTCTAAACCCTACATATGTGCTCTCTTTTTTTAAACTTGGAAGGTTTGTATTTGAAACCGAATTTAGTTTGGTCATATATGTAGTCCAAAAAGTTTAAAATTAAAACCGAAATTTTTAACCGTGTGGGAAACAAAAAGTTGCGAAACCATTGGCTGGATCATCGCATCGATAAATTTGTGTCCTCGGTTGCAAAATAAGTTTGTTACTACGCTCGCCACTGCTTTTATTTCGCACAGTGCTGTACATACATGCGTGATATATTTTTGTACAACCATACATACATACATACATATTTACAAACATACATATGTCCACTGATATGTATGCTTGTATGTTTGTATGCAACTGCATAGCTACCTCTTTATCGATTTTGTTGCATGTCATGTTGTTGCGTGCATCCACTAAAAGTTTTCAAGGGTTACTCATCTCAACGCATTCTCGCTCAATTGCTCTCCTACTTTATAGGCTCCTCGTATAAGGTGGCCTAGGGTGCTTAACGCCTGGCTGGATAACTGGATGGCTGGCTGCTCGATTGGGTGGCTGGCTGGCTGGCCTGTTTGGCTGTTGCACCGCTGACGCTCTGACTCAGCTCAGCCCAGCATTCGGATTCCAGAGTTGTCATGCTCTTTTCACTTCACGTAGGCACCTAAACAACAACCAACCAGATTGTTACCTTCTCAAATCGTCGTGCATTCGTATTCAACAAAGATTTTCACGTTTCTTATTTCATTTAATTTTTTTAAATACTTCGCTTCCTACTTACTTATCTTATTTAAATAAAATGGTCGCATGAAGACGCAATTGAATACACTATTACATATGTATGTAAAATGTAGGTACCGTATATAATGAATAAAAAATTTCACCAATCTCTAGCTTTAAATTTTATGAGCACCCTTTAATAATATTAATAAAATGTAGTACAATTAAGTAGTCAGAGTGGTGACGAGTTTGCTACATTTTAATTTGTTATTTTTTCGTGTGTGCTTTTATTTTTCCTTAGTTTTTGCTGACTTTCATATTCGTATCGTACATATGTACATATATATACATATGTATTAATATACTTTTCGACTTTGGTCTTTGCTTCAGTTTGCAATTCATTTCGTTCAATTACTGACACCCCCCGCCCGCGCACACTTTGTCTAGTGTTTATCACACCCAGCCACTATCTACAATTTATTTTGTACCAACCATAATACCGTGCCAACTAATACAATTCTTTAACCACTAAATATCTAGTCGCGGCAGCTACTCGTTACTTAGCGCTGTGCTCCTGTTAGCAGCCAAACAAGTCGTTGCCAGCAATGCCAACTACCGAACGAACGAACCAGTGAAACAAGAACCACACAATCAAACAACTTCATCGTCATCGTTGTTATCGGCAGTGTCAGGTGGTGGTGGCCAGTGTTGCCACTAACAATTTTTTTCCCCTACCAATTTTCTTCCCAAATACGACCAAAATCGTTCACAACCTACCAAATAAATTTCGATTATACAAAAAGCATTGCTTTCAGCTTGAAACTCTTTGTTAAGATTGTTAATTATGGGCAAAATATACGCTAGAAATAAAAAATAGCATTTGGTTTTGCAACACACTCCTTTGCAGATCGCATACCGTTTACTTCGTAAAAGCAGGAAATAAAATAAAGTTTTAAACTATCCCATTGCTCAACTTATGGGGTTTTACCGAACACTAGTCCTAAAATTCCTTCAGTTCATGTATTCCTTTTGGACTATGGGAAAAGAAACTAAATATTTTGCGACACAGTGTCAGTAGCTTGAGCAAAGGTGAAGAGAGTGGCATGTGTACTTTATATAAAATAAATCGGTTTCTGCAGTCAATAATGTTTTCAGACCGCCCAAGTCTCCAGCCATAACATTGGCTTCCTCAGTGGCCAAACCAATTAGGTTTCTTATTTTTAAAGGCAGGATTGGCAAATGTTTGAAAGGTACAATGGCAAATATTTATTTGCAAAATGATGTTTGAAATATATATTTTTATAATTAAGATTTTAAAAACTTAATTCAACTATCCGACCAATATCTTACTTTGCCTACCAACCTAACGAATGTAAAAGAAGCGACTAAATTTGGTCGGAAAAGACCAACAGTGGCAACACCAGCCAGGGGGCATCTTATTATACCATTTATACGAATGTGCGGATGTATAAATGTTCTCCTAATCTCCTGCAATAATTTTGGTATTCACGCGAGAGCGTAGCACCAAATCTCGCTCGTATGTGAACGCATGTGGGTGCACGTGTTCGTTCATGTTATAGGGGAAGTCGGGGTGTGGCAATAACGTCTTGTCGAAGAAAGTGTAGAATATATGTATGTATGGAATTTCGTAGCCAGTGTTGCCACCTGCATATTTTGACGACCGAAATACGCTTATCTTTTTTATTCACTAGCATATTTAAGAGTAAGCATAACATGCCAAGATGCTCTGAAGGCATTTGAAACCGCTCGCAAAAACTGGCAAATGGCGTCCAATTAAACCAAAGCCAAATATAGAGTCAGTTAAAGCGGAAACCGTCATGTATTTTCAAGGTTCTCTCATGAATAATGCTCATGAGAACCGTGGGTGCAAGACTGACGCCTGCAAAACATCCATGTTTTTCCTGACAAGGCCAGATACGGTGGTGGCGAAATTTCTTTTTGGAAAGAAAGCGAGTGAGTTAGGAGTCCTAATAGGACCGATTACGCTACAGAAAAAAAGTTCTTTACTAAGAAGTTTCTTACGGGTCTTGTTAAACAATAAAAATGTACCCCTAATGTCACATTTGCATATCCGACTTACGTGATAACAATGCAACACTTAAACACGTATACATAAGTCGTCCTCTCAGACGAATTGGTCAGCCAGTGCTGATAACTTCATTCAGCTCAAACGCACTTATTACACTAAACTGTGCGTAGTGAGTAATCGCGACTGAGGGATTTGCCACTTTTTGTTTTCATGTAATGAAGTGCAAAAGTGATGCGTAGGTCTTACAGAAAGCGAAAAGTCAGGACAGTTAATTAAAATTTATCAATCAATCAATTAAACATCAAATTATTTGCTAATTTTATATTTAAAATAAATTGTCCGGAACAGTAATAACTCTGGCGATGGAGGCATTATATTTTTGGTGGTATATCCTGCTGCAAAATCTACAGCTGAACTTACATCTCTGAGTAGACCTTCTCCTTTTCCCAAAAAGCTAATTGTAGTTTCTGCGTTCACAGCTTAAACTCCGTCATCCAAATTTGAGAAAATTTTACTCTAGGTAAGAAAGAACCGACCATTATCAAAACATTGTTGATGGTTAATTCTGGCCCAATGGTGCTTTAATTCGAGAGATTTAGTCTAAACCTCGTTCTCGGAATGAAAACATTCTTCGAGTTCCTCTTTAGGACAAAAAACTTATTTCTTCTTCAATATTTGTAAAGATCAAAACTAACAAAGTTTTACTTAAAGTCTTTTGACTTCAACTTTGTAATACTAAAGTATTAATATTTAGAAATGATTGCTTGGATTACAAAGGTGGTGTTGTTTTAATAGCTGTTCAGACTGATTTTCCCTCGGCGAAAGTTGAGTTCACTAACTCCGATGATGTCGATTTCCTCTGTGTTAAAATATGCTATCTCTCTCGAATAGCGTTTTTCTTTTTGTAATTTATATACTCTTACTCCTTCGGTTTACTTCTAACATTCTTCATTATTACTCTCTTTATTTTCTGTTATTGTGTTGAGAAATTTCAAGCTAGCGTGTGTTTCCTGGAACTTAATAGATGGGATTCTAGTGCCAAATTCTTCGCGGGATGTATTTAACCAATTATATCAAATCAATTCAATTATCAACAATTTAGGCAAATGTCCGGATTAAGTTTTTATTGATGACGTTGCTAATGTGGAACCTAAACGATCGGCCTATATTAACCTACTTGTTATGTGAGGGGATGATGGACTCTACTTAACATATTTTTAACAATGAATCGAAAAAGTGATAAAGTAAGGGAAATAAATTACCTAATTACCAAATTTCGTAAGGAGGAAAATTACCCATTTTGGTAAAAAATTACCAAAACGGCAACACTAAATGGTGGGTGATAGGCGCTAAGAGAGCGCGAGAATTTTGCGATTCATGCATATTTATGTATGTACCTAGGTATTTAGTTCAAAAGCGGTGAAAGGGTACATTTTTAGTACCTGCACGAATGTTAATTCCAAAGTGTAACCGACATATGTATGTAGTATGTATTAATCGTATGTTTCTCGCTCAATTAACGAATATTCATCAAATATTCGTTTACCACGTTTAGCTCCAGGTTTTTGACAAAATTATCTACGTACATACATACGAATGACTGGAGGCCCTGCTACTAATTGCGTTTTTTTTTTGCAAATTGGTGATTTATAACCTTTTTGTAATTAGTACGCCCTAATAGTAGATGACATTCTTCTCAAACTAGAAAACACTGCGAAAGCCGTGCACAAACGTACATATGTACACGTATTAAGTTTGCCAAATAAAAATGACTCGTTTTTGGTTTACAGTTCTTATCATAACACATAATATTTATATGTACATTAGGGTGGGTCAAACTGTGAAGGTGTGACATCTTACGTGAAATTCTAAGCAGATTTGCCAAATAAGCCATAACACAGTGGCGAAAACAATCGTAATTTTCATCCGATTTGATATATGTATGCATGTATGTATAATTTTTTTATTAAAGAAGCGAATGAATTTGGCGACGAACATTCTCCTCTAGCCAATTGCTTTAGTTGTACATTGTACTAAATATATATGTATGTATGTACATACATTCATACATATATACAACATTTTAAATTTGAGTTTTTTCTTGGGTGAAATCTGCAAAGCTCTATTTAAAACGAATTGCAAGTTTTTTCTACTTCCGCATTCTATTACTAGTACAATTCAAAGAACATACTTTTTGTGGCAAAAATATTCGATTATGAAATACAGTACATAAATCCAAAAAAATTGCATCTCCTTTGATTCAAGAGGAAACTATACACATATGTATGTACATGTGTATGTATGTACATATATCTATGTATGTTCGTTCTTCACCAATAATCGAGAGACTTGCATATTCGGCAACGAAATTTTTCTTGTTATCGATAACTAATAATTAACGAATTACTTATGTATATGTATGTATTAACATATTCCGAGGGATAGATAAGTTTGTATTGGAAAAGTGAGTAAACTTTTAAAGAAGTTATAAAATTGAACACTAACGTGCAGTGTTGCCGTTTAGAAGTTTCATAAAGTCGCAAAAAGTGGTCATTGCCAAAAAAAGGCTCACCATATTATTTTTGCTTCCTTTATTAGTAAAATAATAAATCTGAGAACCACAGTCAAAATTAAATTTACATGTATTATAAAGTCTTTTCGCTGCTAGAACGTTCTGCTGTTGAATTTAAAAAGAAAATAGCGGGACAAATTTTGCGCAAAACAGATTTGCAAACATACACAGAAATCGAGTTGAATTTCCTTGAAAAGTTTTAATTGATTAATTTTTTCGTTCTTACTTTAGGAAATATCTTTTAGTAGCAGGGCTCTGTTAACATTTCCTAATTTTGGAAAAGGGTAAAAAAATCAAAATTTTCAGAAAATCGGGTCAAAGGGTATTGGCGCTTGAAAAAGAGTCAAATTGCCCCTTTAGTCGCACAACGGCAACACTGGCAACGTGGCAGTAAGAACAATTTTGCACGTGTCTTTTGCTCTTTGTGTCGAAGGAAGTCTTTGGTGTCGCAACATGGCAACTCAAACAACGTACAACATCTAGCTACAACAAAATTAAAACCCCATTCAATAAACACAGGCACACATACACACATCCATACATAATCGACAGAAAAGAACAATTCGTCCATAGGACATTCATACAGATATACATGCGTCTGTACATAATATACATACATATGGATGTATATATATATATATCTGTGTACATACATACGTCGGTCCGAACCAAGGCGAGCAAAAAGCAGCTGCAGCAACAACGTCAACGTCGACTATACAGCGTTTATGTCACTGCGTCTTCGCGTTCTCTAACCTAACCCAAAGCAAAACAACAATTTTAAGTTCAGTCGGTTAGTTGATTATTTTCGCTTCGGTCGGCCGCTTGTGTGTACGTACAAGTTGAGTACGTTTTGCTAATTTCACCTTGGCTCGCCTTGTCAACAACGAATAGTCAGTCAGTCGGTCGGTTGAATAGTCGAGGCAGACCGTCGAACATTCGATACATACACACATACATCGTATATGGGGATGTAGTTATGTATGTACGTGAATTTTGTTATATGTATACATACATATGTAGCGCATTGCACTGCAGTTACTAAGTGCAAGACAGTGGGGCGTATTGCGAAGAGACGAGACTACACGAGACGTGTCGCGACGACGCGCAACCAATTGAAAACCAATGCAAAAGCAATGGTATCTGAGTATCTTCTCTGCGCTCATAACTGTCAGTATTGGTCGCACAGAGCGTACATTGTGACGTGGTAATCGTTTGATCAGCGGTTGAAAAATTAGTAAGAAGGAAGCAAAAAGACAAATTTGCTGATAACAAAAGAGAGGGGGGAAAAAACAAAGCGAAAAGTGAAAAACGCAAACAGTACGGTAAT